CGTTACTATGTCGTCGGCGGCGCTAGAAAATTGGATATTTGCTAAAAATGATCTTTCGAATTGGAAAACACTGCTGGAGCAGCTTTTTATTTTCTGGTCGAAACAAAAACATATTAATCGGTGATTCTACAGATATTTATCTATTTATTTCGATCGAAAACATTTTCATTCCATGTTAATCATATTCGGAGGGAATTGGAGAATCAACAGGTGTCGAACCTTTACCGTGTAACATAAGGTATTTTCGTGTAAGCGATAACACAAAGAAATTCTCGTTTATGGTTTTTCAATAATGCATTTTTCTTTGTACCTTAAATATGCGTATTCAATCGATTTCACACAATCGCATAATGTGTTCGTCTTAGATTGAGTTTATTTTACATATGTATATTTATATTGTGGATTAAGTGTTAAGGATTGTTTGTCGAGGATGCTCGTTTTTACTATTCAACTACAGCGAATTCACTTTTTACAGAAAAACAAACTTGGGATATCGAACGGGTATGCTTGTGGTTATGCGAAGAAAAAACTCCAACCAAATTCGATCGTTGCTAAGTTGTTGAGAGAATTCAAATCGATATAGAAAATAAATATGTATATAGTGATGTCACGGTTGACAGATTAATGATAATCGCAGGTGTTACGCAATCTACGCGTTCCCAACGCATTACCAATTGTAGAGAACTTGGTGAACGTTAATTATAAATGGCGCGTGTGATGTTTATCACGATAAAAAGAGCAAATCGACGATGGAAAAGAGGAAAGTGGAGAGAGAGAGAAACGGAAAGCCTTCTTACAACTGCTCGGTTTTTAAGCTTAAGCGATTTACAGCTGTTAGAGCAATGAAATATGTGTACGGCGTATGGAAAAGTTCCTACCGAGGGTGGGGAACGTGTTAGATAAAGATATTTGCTAAATTAGGAAATTCCCGATGCAGCAGATGACTTCATTACCGATAATTATACAGCCGTAACATTGCCATCCTTCTTGTCGATGTCGTCCAGTTGGCAACGAAAGCATATGATAATAATCGAAGATTTCCCCGTGTAAATGGTCCAGGTAAAGCATAAATAAATTAAATGCCAATTTATCGTTTTTTTTTTTTTCTCGAGGTGTCTACATAGATGAAGGATAGATCTTTACGATTGGTCGTTTCGAACAGATGTCTTGGCGCGCATTTTTTAAAACACCTATTACTACACTTGTTTCTTTTTACGTTTCTTTATACATGTGTTTTGTTCTTTCGATGCACGATTAACAATTAACGAAATTTGTTGAATTTTCGCTTAACAAAAGTCAAATTGATAGATCGTTTGAACGCGTAGCTTCTACGATTCCATGTATTTTTGTGCGATCCTAAAGAGCTGACGGTTATTGATAACATGGTAGTTTCGCCGAACAATTGTTACCGAAGAAAAGCGAGAGATAATTGTTGCTTATACGATAACTCACGTTGAATTGGTACGACGTCGACTGAAAACCATACATAGTGATATATATCGTTGTAACATAGATTCTTTACAATTAATTGCTCAGTACTAGATATACTTGAATTCAATATCCGAGTACTAATATAGACAGTAAGACTAATGTTACGACTATTTCCATAGCAATGTTAACAAGAATAATGCAATAAATATTTTACTTCTATCGTCGGAATAATTTACTTGAAAGGCTTTTTGTATGTTTGCAGATCGTGACAATTTTATCAGAAATGTCGCTTATAAAACCACACGGTGTAGTATCAAAATTACACCGCTACGAACCACGAAAGGCTTGCGGTTTCTTATTATTTTTTTCCGTTTCCACTTCCTTCGTCCTTCTTTAAATTTTTTCGTGCGTTCCGAGGGCATAAAACGAAAGGAGGGAACGTTGAAAATTGAAGGAAGAGGAAAACTTTGCGACGGAAGTAATAGAACATCGACGTTGTTCCAATTTCTAATAGTAGGTATGTATGTAACTGTAGAGTGTCTAAAGTTTGGTGAAAGCTATTTCATGTTTTTGATTATTAATGAAGATAATAGTTTCACTAATGATGCATGCGAGAATTTCTTCGGGTTTTCGTTATATAATGTAAATACACTTTTTGAAAGTATTTCGAAATATTAATTAAGCCGTAATAATTGTGCATGAAATCCCGATAACAGTTGAAGGTTGTATCGCGTCCTTCTTATCACGTAAATAATACGAGATACACTCTAAACGTTACTTTGAACACACGGCAATACTGTTGTTGAAACTGTTACAAATCAATTACTGGATGCCTTCGGTAAATAAAGACACTTCTTGTCACATAGGTTACGTAGAAACTTGCAGATGGCCGAATCAACAGAAAAGAAAAAAGTGTGCGTAGTAGGAGCCGGCGCAGCCGGCCTTTGCGCAGCTAGACACTTTGCGGGAACTTTGAATTTCGAAGTGAAAGTTTACGAGCAGACGAACGAAATCGGTGGTACGTGGGTTTATAAAGAAGCAGTCGGAGTCGATGATAACGGTTTACCAATTCACTCGAGCATGTATAGGAATCTAAGGTTCAATTTTTTGTATATGCATATATGTACATGTAAAAATAATATTAATAATAACATAATTATATATATATATATATATATGTACAAGT